TGGCTGTTTTCTGTGTTCTGAAATGCTGCAGGGGGCCAGCAATGACCTGCTCCTGCCGAGCCAGGATGGCAGTGATACTTATGGGAACTTTCCTCCACCATCCTGGAGGAAAGTGCTCAGTGGGGAATGGAGTTTCCTTAAGAATGGTCAGGAGCCCAGGCTGAACAAAAGAGGAATGCCAGACTTGTGCCAGGTAGTGCGAGCTGTAGGGATGGATATACTTGAACCGTTAGGGCCCAGGGAGGCGTCTAATCCTTTCTTTTTATATACAACCCTTCTCTGTGCAGGGGCTGGGACCAGAAACCCCCAGAGGTCTGCAAAACCTGATAGGAATTACTATACAAATAACATTTCATTTCTGTTTAACATTACACAGCCATCGCATGGTGTGTGTTTTTTCTTTGATTTTCATCTCAGACCTGTTTGCTGGGGGCTCTCTGGAGCAGGGCAGAGTAATCTGTTAGTTCTGTGGTCAGAGGGAAGCAGGACTGCACCCAGGCAGAGGTGGCTGTTCTTCTGGTGTGGTCTTTCCTATCTGAATTTCAGTTCAGACCAGTAGTAAATACCAGGCTACTCCCTTAGAATAGAGCTGGAGTTTGCTTGGGGCTGTCGGGACAGCTCTGTGTGCTTTAACTGTAGCCACACCAAAGCATCCTGAACATTATTCAGATCCACTCACATAAAAGAGCTATCCTCCTTCCTAGAGAACTGCTGGAATTTTGGTGCTTGCAGCAAGATCTGCTCAGCGTGGTATTTTAGGATGCTGTGGTTTGGTGACTCAAGCCTGGATACTGCCTTGGCTTGAAATCAGGTAAAGAGTTTCTAGGGGAAGGAGGAAAGTGAGTTATTTCTGGAGACACTCAGCCCTGGACTGAATTGCTACAGAGAAGTGTTGCAGAGCTTGATCGAAACAGATAATCTCTTGAGTTGCCTGAAGCATGGACTATGAGACTGAATAGGACTCATGAGGAGCATCCATGTGAGAAAGTGGGAGTGTTTTACTCCTGCTTTATGGTTTGGTCTTTTTTGCATGCAGGAGCAGAAGGAGAGTGAAAGGGAGCTGGGTTTCATGCAGGTAGGAGCACTATTAGAGTAGGTTCAAATGTGTGTGTGTGTGTACACTGATGTTGCCTTTCCTTCAGTAAAGAAAAATCATTCAGTCCTGTGAGCTTAGCAGGCTGCTTAAGAACAAGAAACAGCAATAATTGTGGAACCCTATCAAATGCGTATGCATGTCATGGTGGATGACAAGCAAAAGCAGCTCTGCAGCAGCTTGGGGGCTGTTGGGAGTCTGTGCTAGCCAGCGAAGTATGGGGGGACCAGATCATGCTGTAAATAAAGTCCTGTTTTTTTCTATTTGGTGCTAGTCCTGTACCACCTGTTGCCTGACAGCAGCACCACATCACTGAGTACCTTCAGCATTTCTTCCACCTGAAACATGCCACGGGTTCAGCTTTGAAGGCAGCCGTGGTCAGCTGGAGTGGGATGAGCCGTAGCATGGGCAGCAGGACAGCCACAGCTCTGGGTGCCAGGCTCAGGCACAATGCTAGACCCAGATGGAGAGAGACAAGGCAGAGGCATATTCACACAGCTACATGAGTGGCAGGACCCAACATAGCTTTGATTTCATTACAGTTTAACACACAGCTAGAAAATATTATGTCCCTAATATAAAGAAGGAAATATTTACCTTTGGGAAATTTGAGAAGCAAGGAATTGGAAAATTAGATTAATGAATAGAAAGCAATAACACAAGCCATTATTCACAGAAGTGTTGTTTGCTGCTTTTTTATCAAGGCTTATTTTACACAAAACGTTAGCTGTTACAACAGCTGATGCGTCACTGGTGTTTCATACCAGAGGGCCTCAGAAAAGGCTTAACAGGACATTTTCTTGGGTTTTATCTTTTCTCCCTGTTGTCATTTTTTTGCCTAAAATTCAATCATGGTATAAAGAATGAAATCTTGGGCATTACTGATCAGTGCTGCTCATGGGCACTTAAAAATCCATGGCTCCTTCTGGAGCATGCTGAGAGTTTCAGTGTCAGTGGATGTGTGTACTCCAGAGCTAATGGATATAACACACATTACACTATCAAAAGGGAGTCAGTACTGATTTATTTTTTTAAGTATGCAAGTTGAGGCTTTTTAAGTAGGCTTATGTAGTGAGGTCTTTAAGCAACCAGATTCTGAAGCCTCTCTCCATCTCAACAAGCTAGAGATGATCATTCAGGTGAGACTTTCAGGATCAGAAATACAAAAACCTAGAGCTTCCCAGTAAAGGAACATCAGCTCTTTTTTTCAAGATAGGGATCTTGTCCTGTATCAAAAATAGCGTGGCCAGCAGGACCAGGGAAGTGATCCTCCCCCTGTACTCTGCGTTGGTGAGGCCACACCTTGAGTATTGTGTTCAGTTCTGGGCCCCTCAGTTCAGGAAGGATATTGAGGTGCTGGAGCGGGTCCAGAGAAGAGCAACAAGGCTGGTGAAGGGACTGGAGCATAAGTCCTGTGGGGAGAGGCTGAGGGAGCTGGGGTTGTTTAGCCTGGAGAAGAGGAGGCTCAGAGGTGACCTCATCACTGTCTTTAACTACCTGAAGGGAAGTTCTAGCCAGGTGGGGGTTGGTCTCTTCTCTCAGGCCCTCAGCAATAGGACAAGGGGGCACGGGCTTAAGCTCCGCCAGGGGAAATTTAAGTTGGATATCAGGAGAAAATTCTTTACAGAGAGTAATCAGGCATTGGAATGGGCTGCCCAGAGAGGTGGTGGATTCACCATCCCTGGAGATTTTTAAACACAGATTGGACGTGGCACTGAGTGCCATGATCTAGTAAATGGACTGGATTTGGACCAAGGGTTGGACTCGATGATCTCGGAGGTCTTTTCCAACCCAATCGATTCTATGATTCTATGATTCTATGATTCTATGATTAAGATGCAAAAGCAACACTTCCTCCACACTCGCCCCAAAAAATCAAAATCAACAAAGTTAATTGGATTGCACATAGAAAAGAAGTGATATAAGTTTTACCTGGAAAAATCCAAAATGTATTTTCTTCTCACAGTATGATTCATGGCCTGAGCAGTTGGCTGAGGATAGTTATCTTGGAAGCCTACAAAATTATGACCTCATGTTGGAATTAGCAGGCAATTTAAGGACATTTAAACAATTATATTACGTTTTCAACCCCGCTAAATGACAGCTGTTTCTTTGCCTCCTTTTTTGTATGGAATAGTGGCCACAGGGCATTAACTCATGGAGATAAACAGTAAAGAAGTAAAAATATGTGCAGACAGCAGTAGTTTGGAGAAGTACCGTATGTTAGGGTCTGTGTTATGGGTGTTTAGTACAGAGCTAAAGGGGAGACATGAAAAAATACCATTATTGTGATCTTAGTTGGTAAGTCACTGACTGGGAACAGTCTTGTCAGCACAGATAGCAAATGCATTAATGCCAGTCCATTCTCTCCTGACATCTTGGGACAGGACTGTGCTAAGAGAGCCTGTTATTACGCTGTTACAGTTGCAGAGTAGGTATTTAAATGGTAGAGTCACAGTCAAGAAGATCTAAAGATAGGACTGTGGGTTTAGCCTTTTATGCTGAGCATGGAGCAGAGCCCACAGACACTTAATGTGGCCATCCTAGAACAGTATTTTTTTAAGCTGCTAATGATCTAAATAATTACTGGCAGAGGAGCATAGCCCCGAGTGGTGAAGTCCAGACTGCTGACAAAAGACCTGCTTTTCTAAGTTACCTTTAAAAGATCACAGTGAGCTGGAAACTGAAACAACTCAAAGAAAGTTCTCCCCTTCTTCAGCCAGAAGCAAGGAACTACAAGTGGAAATTCATGGGAGTGCCTGTGTGAAAACAGAGAGATGTAAATGAGAGCTGTGTAATACAGCACGGTGTAGTACTGGATAGAAAAGGGGCGGTTACAGTCACTGGTTTAGTGTCTACAAATAGCAGGCAGCAGCCAGCTCCCATCCCCTGCACAGAGCACTAACACAGCATTGTTACAGCCCTTTTTACTTGTGCAGTCTAGGGGTTGCAGCCACCTTGGAAGACAGAAGAAGGAAACCCCTTCTTCAGTCCCACAGCCTGCAGGTGCAAGGGAAGGAAACTGGCAGCTTTGCAATGAGGGTAGAGGGTTCTCAACAGAGCTTTGGATTCCTCGCTGTTAAGAGAGTTGGCTCTCTTTCTAGTCACCACTTTGTATTCTTTCTCTGGATCTTACCTGTAATCATCAGTTTGCCTAAAACTTTACCACCCTCTATGGACTGTAGTTTACTGCTTACCTGTCTTCAGTCTTCTCCATCTTTTTGGAGTAGACGAAAAGCTGGCCTGAGTTCAGGTAAATACGAGATCAGAGGGTAAATCAAAGGCAGGTTAAGTCTCCTGCAGTGCAGTGTCTTACAGCCATCCATAGATGTTTCACAGTAGCATCTGGCAGGCTCAGGGGATGTTTTTTATCCATTTGTCTAACACATTCTGCATTGTAACCTGTCATTGCCCATGTGTCATTACAAGTGGACTGTAAATCTGTAGGGGGTTCAGAAGGAATTTGACCTCTGCAATCAGAGCATCTCTAGTTTTCAAGGTCTTCCCTGATTAAAGGGATCTTCCCAATTGTCCCAAGCAAACCTTTTACACAAACCTGCCAAGTTAGAGGTTTGCTGCACAGTCTGTATCTGGCTGTGTATTGATGTCTGTTCCCTTTCAAAAAGTAACCTCTGGTAAAGTGTGTTCTGTTCCCTCTTCTGTTATAGCCTTCACTCAGTGTGTGAGCTGAAGTGTGATCAGTAGCTCTCCCTAAGACTAGTGAGACACACAGTTTGTTGTTGTGGGTGAGACATTTGCCATGACTGAATTCTTTGAACTTGGGATCCAGTTAGGAAATGTTACTGACATGCATGTTTCTCCCCATTAGCTCATGCAGCTCATGTGGCTTGTTTCATTCATGTGACCTCTTGTTACATATCCATCATCCATTTTTCTTTCCTATTAGAGTGAAATTGGACACAGCCCTCCTCCTGCCTACACCCCTATGTCAGGAGTAAGTATTTCACATTCAGCCTTCATCCTTTAGGTTTTCTACCTTCCTTCACTACTTTTTTTCTGTTTCAAACCCCTTTTTCCTGCATAAATGACCTAAAAGACAACAGGAAATGAAATGTATACAAGAGCAATCAAATATTCAAGATCTCCACACTCAGCCTGGGTTTGTATGCAAACTCTATGGACCCACAGCCAAAAGACTGCCAACTTTTCTTGAAAAAGTGTTTAGGTAACAGGCTTGGTTGAATCTGTACATTTTTCCTTCTTATCTACAGGTCATGATGTTGAAATTTCTTTTCATGCCCTTGCTGACAAGCAAAATGGTCGTTGAGCTGAACCATTGAGTTGAGGTGCCAATACAAACACAGTTCACCAGCCTGAAATGCACTTCCTGATGGAATTACACAGGATGTGGGTGACCCTGTGATTCGCAGCACAGTATGCCCTAAAAGAATGCCACTCAGGAATTAGCAGAGATGATAATTACTCCAGTCAGGAGATTTCCCTAACATGAGGTTTAAGGGTTTCTCAGAAATCAGAGAATGTTGCCAGAGTAGTAGAAGAGGAGATTCCGTGTTTTCCTCCTGCAGCTGTGTATATCCAACCTCCATATGCTTAGTAGGAGACAAGTTTCCTGCCCCATTTCCAGCACTGAGCACCACTGGGCAGACGGATGCTTTGCCAGTCCACAACAGAACCCGTGCTGCTGGTGATCTCGCAGCACAGCGATGACTTGCTGTTGAACCCTGTCCCCTCCTTTCCCATGCTGTCTTCTCTTTTCCAACAGAACCAGTTTGTGTACCGGGATGGTGGCTACACTGCAGAGGTGCCGATGCCATACAGAGCTCCAGGCTGCATAATACCAGAAGCTCCAGTTGCTCAGGGGGCCACAGCAGAGATCTTTGAAGATGCTTGCTGTAATGGCACACTGCGAAAACAAGTGGCAACCCTGGCAAAAGAGGAAAGCAGCACCCAGAGGTACAGTGCTGACCCCACAGTCTTCATGCCCGAGCGGGTCGTCCGGGGAGAGCTGGATGAGGATGGGTACATGACACCGATGAGAGACAAACCTAAAACAGGTAAAGAATAGTCTTTCTGGTCTAGTCTGACTGCATTCTCTCTCTTTGCACATCTGCAGCTTTTCATCAAAAATGGCTCTATTTAGTTACCCAGCAATGTTGAAGCGTTCTGACTAAGTTAATATTTCTTCACATGGGGATTTGGTTTTCTTTTCTTAATTTTCTACTTTAAAAACTTAAATGTGCCAATATGTCAAGTTTGGTAATTCCCCCTTTTACTTTTTTTTTTTTTGAGTAATCTCAAGAAGAATGAAAGAAAACCAAATCTCTTTCTTATCCAAACTCAAATCTCCAGTTATTTACAAGAAAAGGATCTACCTTTGGCCAGCCAGAGTACCCACTTTGCTTTGTTTATTGATTTTTATTTTCATGGCATCATGTTTGATAAATGTCATGTTGAACCTATCAGAGAACCAATATACACAGTTGGCATTTTATACCCAAGAGAACTTTAGGATTGAAAGAACAAGATGTGCTTCAGAGAGACCATCACTGCAAGGTGCTGATTGCCTAGATCTGTGCCAGCTCATTGTGCTGCACTTCCCACTTTGCCATCATTCATTTCTTCCTTTTTAAATAGTGACAGCCGTCATTTAGATGTAAGGGTATGTGTCATTACTAATTTGCTCTCAAACCTTTGCATTACCTTTAAAAAAATTAATTAATGCAAATGTAAATGCCAAGTCACTAGTGTGTTTGCTAAGAATTTGGAAGCCACTTATCCTTTGTGCTACATGGTGGGAATGGAGCAGTAGCAATTGTGGAGTCCACTCATGGACCTGCACTTCAGCAACCTCCTTTGCAGTGAGAGTTAGTTTCTGTGAGCCCACACACATGTTCAGATGTGGGTGCACCCTGGAGATCCTCAGAGTTCCCTGAACAGAAGCTCCCTGAGCCCTCGGGGATGTGGCAGTAGCAGCTCAGGAGAAAGCACCTCCTTCCTGACTCCCTGGGCACAGACACATGCTGTGTGTTCTGTCCCAGCTGCAGGGTTCAAATCAAAGCTCTTCTTGACTCTCATTGCTAAAAAGCATACATTCCCACTGTGCTTTTATACCCAGGTGTGTGCACATGTGCCTGCTCACCTCAGATTCAGTGACATTTTAGCTGCCTGTTCAAAGGTGTTCACTGGGTCTTGAACTTTTGCCTCTAATATTTTTGGCCCCATCCTAGATAAAACCAGAGCTGAAGTGAAAACCATGACCACCCTTGTGGCAACAGGCAGGGCCTATTTCCTTGCAGGCAGGACTCTGTGGTTGGGGTGTCTGCAGAGCCCCTGACCAGCACCATGCTGCTGGAAATGGAGGTCTTGTGTTGGCATCCAGTGTGGCACAGACAGGCTGAGAGCATCCCTCAGTAATGGTGGTGGCCTGGAGACTCTGGTTTGTACGGAGGTGAAAGGCAGAATTAATACTGGAAGTGGGTTTGATTTCATGATTTCCAGCCTTGAATGAACTGGATACTTTGACATCTTGCTGCAAGGGTCCCACCACCAGATGCTCTTGTCCCTGTGTTGCCTCCAAGCTGTTCCCTTTGCAGCCCACTTGCAGGTGACCTTTTCCTGCCCAGCCCCATTGGCTTTCCTGTTCTGCAGTGAGACCTCATCACACACAGAGCAAGGCAGAACATGGCCCTTGGCAAATCCACTGCTCCGTGGCTCAGTCACCTGTCTGTGACTGTGGGAGAGCACTTACTAGGTGCACATTTTTACCCCAGGACAACCAATCTCTTTATGTTTCTCTTCCCTCCCCACCTCCTGTCAAGCTTTCCATGCAAGCAAGCAAGCATTTTCCATTTCCAAGCATATGCCTTAAAACCTTTCTGCAGTTCAACTACAATTTTTTTGTGGTTTTAATCCACAGCAAGTGATTTGAAACAACTGTAACCTGCTCCGAGTCCTGTTTTGCAGCTGATGTAAGGCTCTCTTTTACCCTGTCCAGGGCTCATTTGAATCATTTTTTTAATAATGCTTTGAGGCCCTTTGTCCTTCAGGGATGGAAGGTTTTTAATCAGGAAAATTGTTCTGTTAGAAATGAAGCTGTCTTAGAAGTTAGCCCTTGGGGATGGGTTTTGTGCAGAGAGGCTTAACTAAGATTTCTATAGAGTTTTCTAAATGGAAAGACTGCAGAGCAGAGGGTTTGCTGGTAGGTCCAAGGTTGCACAGAGAGAGTCAGCAGCATAAGCAGAAGTCGGTCAGTATGTTTGGATCTGTAGATCGTGTAGTGAGAAGTCCAGAATAGCACACGGGCTATGGCTCAGTGAGAGCCGTAGTTTAGTTGGCCAGTTTGATGAGTCAGTTTGTCTTCTGAGGTCTCTGTTTTAACCCATATTGTCTATTTAGTTTGTAAATACTTCACTTTTTGCTAGTGTGTGTTCAACATATTTGGCTCCTGATCCCATCTGGAGTTTTAGGAATGGCTGGGGTAGAGGACTCACTAGTCCAAGTGCTGTTTCTGGTCACGTGATACTTGCTACAGAATGGATTACTCCCTCTCTTGGCTGACTTATTTTTGATCTTTCCATAGATTACCTAAACCCAGTGGAAGAGAACCCATTTGTTTCCCGACGAAAGAATGGAGATCTCCAAGCTGTGGACAACCCAGAGTATCATAATGCTCCGAACGGGCAGCCCAAAGCAGAGGATGAGTATGTGAATGAGCCATTGTACCTCAACACTTTTGCAAACACCTTGGAAAACACTGAGTACCTGAAGAACAACTTGCCAGACAAAGCCAAGAAGGCCTTTGACAACCCAGACTACTGGAACCACAGCCTGCCCCCACGAAGCACCCTCCAGCACCCGGACTACCTGCAGGAGTACAGCACAAAATACTTTTACAAACAGAATGGACGGATCCGGCCCATTGTGGCAGAGAATCCTGAATACCTCTCCGAGTTCTCCCTGAAGCCTGGCACTGTGCTGCCCCCACCGCCCTACAGACACCGAAATACGGTGGTGTAATGGCTGCGGTCTCACAGAAGTGGAAAGGCAACCCCTTTTAGCTGCCTCACTCTTTCTCTCTTGCTCTCCTTTTCTCTCCCTCCCTGTCCTCCCTCCCTCCCTAATCTCCCTTCCTCCCTCCTTCCCTCTCTTTCTCCCACAAGCTTCCTCTTCTTGCCAGTTCACTCATTTTTGATATTTCTAAGTGAAAGGATGTCTTGGAGTTGATTGCAGATTGGGTTGGGAACCTGGAAAGAAGAAAGGAAAGAGACTGAAAGAAGGCATGTATAACCTGGCCTTTCTCACTCTTCACAAATCCAGCGGATTGATACTCAGAGAAGCCAGTGGGCACCAGGAAAGGCCAGTGGCAGTGTTGCCTGCTGTTGAGTTCATTCTCAGTGGTTCAACCAGACACTGTAGGGAAAACCACAGAGCAGCTGATTCTTTCAGCAGGAACTGATGAGAGTCTGTACAGCATTCCTGGAAATCTCAATGCAGTTTCCATCAGGGTGAAAAATGGACAATTTTTATATCCTGTGTGATAGCATAGTAATTGAGATTGAGAATCCAATTTCTTTCTCTAACACTTTCTATCCCAGCAACTGAAAATGGCTAATGTGGCTTTTCATAAACATTCAGGTCTTCATTGTGGCTTTCCAAGAAATGATGATGTGACTCCCGTATATTGCTAAATCCTTCTTCTGAGCCACACCATGATTTTGTGCCAATTCCCAACCACAGAGACTCCCACTCAGAACTGGTACATGACACAACCATTTTTGTATATGTGCCAACAGGACAAACACTTTAAACACAAATCCCCTTTCAGAAGAGAGCAACAAAACCACACCTCCAGTGTGTTCTTTTTGAAGCTAAAAAACAGGCCAAGAAACCAAGATTTGTATGCCAAAAGCTTTGCTTTCCTGTTTTATACTGGCTGACTTTAAACACCTCAAAAGACCCACACTAATTCTTCTCTCTTTTTCTTCTTCATTACCATGAAGGGAGTTGGGGATGCTGTCAGGCAACACGGAGGACAAGACAGAGAACTGGAGAGTTTGATAGGGGTCCTGGAGTCTGCTGGTGTTCTGTGGACTGGTGGTGGGAAGAGTCCTTTAAACTGGAAGACAGATACTGGACTGGAGAAAATGCACATAGTAGTTCACTGGAAAGTTAGTTTGCACTTAAGCTATGATTTTATTTGAACTGTTTTCTGGATTTTGAATGAAGCAATATGGAAGTGACCAGCAAAATACAAAATAATAATTTTAAATTAAAAAAAATAATTATTATATGTAAAGGATGACTGTGGAAATGCCAAAATGAAGCAAATCAAGTCTTTGGAACAATGTCTGCCAGCTCAGAGAGGCTGATGGATTGACTGCTTCAGAGAATACAGTGACAGACTAGCCAGGTCTTACTCCTGCTGTGTGAAGGACAGCAGAGCAAGGCCTGGAATGGGTCAGGGGAGGCAAATGTCCTGCTCTGGCTTGCAGCACAGAACAATGCCTTTTTTCTAAAAGGAAGATTACTCTGGCACAGAAGATGGTGCATATGAGGTTTGAGAAGTCAAAACGTGCATGAGTCGGAGAGCTTTCTGTCAAAAATGTAAATAAGTATGAGTCAGTCTCCTTGCACTTAGTTCTGCTTTCATCAACCTCATTTTTTAGGTAGACACCCCCACCCTATCCCCTGGCCTGCTCCTCTTTGAAATCTCTTTCAGCCAGAGTTCTGGATGTTTTTAGCAACCTGAGGCAGATGGAGCTGGGAAGGAAGGTGTAAGGGCCGGAGACACTGATGGCTTGCTCCTGACTCACCAAGACCTGTGTGTGTAAGAGCATTTGCATACCTACTTCCCACCAAAAATCTTAAGGAACTATTAAGTACCTTTGAAGATCTGCCTGTCTCTATCCACCAAGGTTTTTAAAGGGGAAAAAGCAATACTTGATGGATGGCAGTCTTTGGTGACACAACAGTATTTCAGTTTATGCACTTCAGTTCTGTTAGTCAAAGATTTTTGGGGTGACCTAACCTGGCAACAAAACCAGCAACAACCAGTGGTCTGGATATAGCATCACCCTCCTCTGAATTCCTGCCATCCCAACAGCTTGCCACCTTTAATCTGAGGAAAGCAGAGGAAGGAGTAAGAAACAAGCAATAGTTACCCAAAGCTTGGTGGCTCAGGGTCAGCTTGACAGAGGTATGAAGAGATTTCAAACCTGGGTTGGTTGTTACTCTTGTAGACGGAAAACAAACTGTGTGTGATCACAAGTCTGGTTCAGCCAATAACCTGTTTCTGCATTAGGTGTGTCCAAGTCAGCTTGAACCACCCGGGGGAAGGATGTTAAACCTGTAAACTGAGTATGTAGCTGAAGGGTCTGAAAACAGCAAGAACAGGTACAGATTTTTGGGCTGTTCAAAGCAGGTGCTGGGTCAAGTGGCACCAAGGTGGTTTGTCGTGGCAGAACAAAACAGCCAACAGATGACTGACAGGGGATAGATGGTTACCATCCTGCATCTGAGAGGCTGTGCCAGAGAAAGGGGTTGATTTGTCCCTGAGTAAGTCTTTTTACTGAGTAACTCCTAATGGAGAAAAAAAATGAAATAAAATTCCAGCACAGGTCACATGCTTGAATTCAGAGGTGTTCTCAACATCTGCTGGGGCAGAGGCACACACACCTCTGGAGCTGGGCAGGATGATGCTGGGATGTAGCTGCTAACACAAGGTGAGGCCTGTTTGTTCCTCTGGTAGTTAAGTAGTGCCAGTGTTGGAAACAAGCCCGCCGAGTAATCCAAATGTAAATATTGGTGGGGTTTAACAATTTAACATTTTATTTCTTACAAAACTTGAACTATTTATTCATTTGTTGACTGTGGGTGTACCATAATATATTAAGTAGTGTGGAAATGCAGAGGTTCCTGGAAGTGAGGCAGCAGGAAGGCTGGAATGGGACATGCCTTAGGATAAGGCTGACTGGCAGCCAGGCTGAGCAGTGCCAAGCCATGCTAGCTGGGTCTGGAATAGCAGAGGGTTAAGGAACACAGTGATTTGTGATCAGGGAAGACTCCACACACAATTTTTTTATATTTTTTTTAATTTTCTGAGCTGCTGGTTTGAGTGCAGTTGCCAAAACTGGCCCTTAGGATTTCCTGCTATGCCAGTAGCTGACCCTTGCCCAGCAGATGAACCTACCTGGTTCTGAGGCATCTGGTTAAACGGCTTCTTCTCCCTAGTAAGAGCAGTAGTTGTCTGAACACAGCCCACAGACCTGCCCCTCTCCTCTGGAAGAGTAGTTCTGAGCTATGCTGGCAGCTTTTGTCTCTTTGACAAGGAAAGTTTAACCATGGTTGAAGGAGAACTGTTTGGCTGCTTTAATCTGATCAGCAGAAACATCTGGCTGGCCCTAACTCATGTCTTCACCTCGCTGGGTATCACTGCTTGCTTGATGAGAGGAATTGGGTAGGTGCACATGGCAAAGTCATGGCAACATTCAACTGTACTATGGTGTGAAAGATGAGGGCCAGGCTCTTTAATGAATAATGACAGGTTTGGGAGAAAAGCAGGTATTTCCACACACAAACTGCATTTTGTCAGCACAAAGCAGCAGGTAAGTGCATCAACAGAAGTACTTTGGGGTAATTCACTCTCTAGTTCTACAGAGAACATGGAACACTTGGTTTTTATGGATTTTTTTAATGCAGTATTTGTGAATGTTCTCCTTCCCTGTGTCATGGCCTGAATGACAGAAGAGCGGCGACCAACTTCTGAAGAGCAAGTTTTTACCCAAGTGTGTATCAGCCGTTGTCCAAGGCACAAAGAAACACACTAAAGGAAAGAGAACAACACCTTATTTTTTCCTAATCTCTTTCAGTGATACTTGTCTTAGCTGTTATTATCTACCTGAGGGTTATTGCAAACAGATGTGGATGCTGGAGTTGATTGACTTGCTCTAACACAAAGGACTGAAAACAACAACTTTTAAGTTCCCATCTTCAGCTCTTTTCGAATTTTTCTTTTTCTGCAAAATAGCTGGGAGGGATTCTTACATGGCCACTCACTTAGATGTAGCAGAGTATTTACAACTTGCTTTCAAACAGGTCATCTCTCGCAGGCAGTAAGAGATGGAAATAAACCTGAGCTAATATCCGCAGTACGAGCCACCATGTGGGTCTGTTTCAGGTACCTTGAGCTCAGCCCTGAAATCTTTTTCTGTGTCCAAAGATAGGATGTGTTAATCCTGGTTGTACTACTTATTTGGTAGAAAATGTGTTTCTTGACTGCAAGACTCATCTGCAATGATCTGATACCAGTTTCCACTAAGCACTTGTGAGGGAGAGCATTTCCTTCCCCCTCAGCCACAACCAATCCCAGCCTAGAAGCAAACAAAATGACAACTCTGGAAGAGCAGCTCAGCCATGACTCTGTGGATCCACTCTTTCCATAGCTTTAGGTAGAGCTGGGCAGTACGGGGGAGAAGTACAAGCTGTGAGGTGAGGCAGCCTAGAAATACAGCTTGGTTTTGGGAATGGATCTACATGGGAACCTCAGATATTAAAGGAAAAATCTTTTTTGTTTGATGGGGTGTCTGTGTAGGTGTTGTGCATCATGGTGGCAGCTAAAGGAATGACAGGATTGTTTGAACTCCTGTATTCTATCTGGGAGATCAGGAGACTGGCACAAGTCAGGCTGCTGGTTGTGTAATTCCTCAGAGTAACTGAAGACATCCCAGTAAGCTGTGCTTCCCTGGCAGCCCTGTGCATTCGGGGCAGGTATGCCCTTCTGGAAGGGGTAGCAGCCACTACAGCACCCACAAGCATGGGGACTCAGACACTCACACCCTGTATGTGCCCACTCTCTTTGGGGGAGGGAGTGGGAGCACCAGAAGTGCCCAGGGCCTTGCCACTGGGCAGTGCCCACTTATTGGGATGGGTGTTTCCCTCATCTTGTTCAGCTTGTGTCTCAAGGCTTCCTCCCTGATTTCTCAAGCATGTTTTAGAACTATGGAGCTCAGGTTGGTGTTTACCTTCGTGGAAGGCTGTTTAACTGGAGAGTGATGGATGGAACAGAGGATTTAACATAAATGAGAGCCAGGCCTCTGGTTATCAGTCACCCCTTTGGCTCGTAGAGAGCACCTCAGAGGGGACGCTGTCACCTCGAGTTCCCTTCTCAAGGCTTTTTCAAAAGGTGGTGATACATGAAGACTCTACTCATTTCTAGCTCTGTCACTTGCAATATTCTCACTGCTGTGAACCTTAGACCTCTGCTGCTGACAAAACAGCTCCTCTGTGGTTACATAAAATCTTGGATTTGGGTTCAGATTGTATTTTAGAAAACCAAGGCTGTGCAGGCTGGGGTGGTTGGTGGAATGCTCATGCTTCATCATGTGCAGGGAGTGGTGGTTGTCTCACAGGGAAGGCACTGTGCAGTATCAGTGTGTGTGCAAGATTCCCTCTTTTATTTTCTGCCTGTTGCTGTTTGTTACACTGGTAGAAAAGGTCATCAGCATTACAAGTGGGAACAAATAACAGCTTTGTGGCTACAAGCATCACTATAAAATGTCAAAAAATCATGTCTCCATCTTTGTTTTAATTTTGTTTTAGCACAATTTTATTTTACCACTGTGTGGATTAGTAGGTTGTTCTGATGGTGGATTCATTGCTCTTGAGGAAATCATGGACAAGTGAGGCTGTTGTCAGTGGTGCTTGCAGTGATGGTTGGGATCTGCTTGTAGGTTTGGACAATATATACCATCTTTTGGGAAACTTTGTGAGTCTTCAGATCTGCCTGATGGTGGTGGGACTTGCTTGAAATGTAGCCAGTCTTACCTCCTAAGCAGAGCCAGAGGGATGCCTTCCACCCAGAGTATCCTCCAGCTGGGGTCTGTGCCAACAGGCCAGGAAAAGGTGTGAGGGGAAAACCCAAGGACATGATCCCAATAGAAACAAGAGGAGTCAAAGCTGCTTTTTTTTTTTTCCTTTTTTATTATTTAATTTTAGGAGTGAGCTTTGTGGGCCTTGGTTGAGAGGGGTTTTAAGGGGAGCTTTGTAAGGCATTAGGCAGTGTGAGTAATTATGTCTGAGTTCTTCTCCCCTCTTCAATAAAAAAAGCCATGAAATTGTGTTCCAGCTGTGTTGTGGATGACCCCAGCAGGGCAAAGGCACATCCCACCCAGCACCTTCTGGCTGGTGGCTCAGGTGTGACCAGGGCCACAGGTACATGGAGCCATTGGCTGTCGTTTGCCAGCAGTTTGGGCCCCAGCCCAACCTTTGAGCCCTCTTAGAGGGAAAACACTGTATTGTCCATAGCACTCCGAAGACTAAACCCTTTTGGGATAACCGCGGTACTGAACTGTGACTGGTATTTTATAAGTTCAGTATAGATATGTATGCCGTTCTTTCGAGGTAAGGTACTCTGACATATGTAGCATAAACTGGTCCTGCTGTTAAATGGGTCGATTATTAACTGAGCAGCTGTGTAGGGGGTAGCTAACTTTGAATGCACAAAACCACTGTTCCTTTGGACATGGGACTGGAGGTAGGTGCTGGGTACTTGTCTTTTTGTGATGGGGTAATGTAAGAGGAGAATGAAGGTCAATGAGAAAACAAGTAATTTTTTATAGCATTTTAATGTTGGAAATTGATACCCATTCGGTACATTATTCACAATGGTTTTAATCCCTTTTGTTGCCCAGTTTTTGCTATTTCCCCAACATTCTAAGCTGGAATTTCTAAAGAGGTAGCAAGCCTAGTGTAGGGAAGGGAAACTAAGGGGAAAAAGAAGTCTCCTTCTAAGAACAGAGGTAGCCAAATTGTATTTCCTGACCTGGTGGTCCAGAACCACCAGGTTTTTCTGATGAGGCTCAAATTCCCAGGCCTGGAGGATATCATTACTGTCCCCTTGGAATCAAAGGGTCCCACCAGGAGAAGACACAGGGATAGCACCGAGCTCCTGGGAGAGACCCTGGTCATGGTGCCTGCAGTCACTGCAGCCAGTCCATCTCAAAGGAACCAGCCTGGCCACCCAATGGGAGATGGCCATGACACAGAGATGGTGGGGTGTCTGAGTTTTAGCCAATTCTCCGTGTTCTCAAAGCACAGAGAGACAAAACAAAAATACTTCTGCCTTATGAAGTACCTTCAGAAGAAGAGAAGTGTCAGCATGTTGGGGAAGACATTAATTTCTTGCAAAGTGATGCATTCAGAGTTAGCTGCCTTTCTGAAATAAAAAAAAAAAAAATACAAAAACTACTGTATGTTACTTTGAAAATGTGAATAGTATTTTTATAGCTTGTTAAAGACACAGCTAGTTGCATTTGTAAATAAGGATAATGTTGCTTTTATTTTCCTTGTGGACACCATTATTTGGAACATAATTGTCCTTAGGGTTGATTTGTATATAGGTAATTTGCTTGTGATTTAAGCCGCTCCTCCCCCTTTCCTTTCTCTCCCTTCCCACTCTCTGGTTTTGTTTAGAAGTACCATTTTTGGCATTCTATGTGATTCTGTGTTTTAGCACTATTGTGGTGTGTTCAGACTTTCTGCACTTGCTTACACAGTAGGATAAGCCAATTGTGTGTGGCGTAATGTTACTTTAACCTTTTGTTCCTCATATTTTAGCTATTGAGGATTATACACTGCTAAAATACTTACTGACCTGGGTTAATATTAGCATAATTTAGCATAATTTCCCTTCTTTTCATGGTTTCTTGTTCTTTTCTTTTTTTCCTTCCCTCCCCTTTTGTCTTGTTTGGAGGCTGGGAAGAAACCTGTGGATCTTCTCTTTGTGTGGTTCTATTCTCCCCCTGCCCATGTGCCAGCCCCGAGTTTCTCCTCATGGCCCTTGGGGTAGAGCTGTATCTGTTTGTTAAGGCAAATGTAGACTGCGACCCACCTTGCATCAACCCACACTCATCCCAGCTGAACAATTTGAGAACTGTTCTGCCTTTTTGTTACATGAATCTGTCAGAAATATATTTTTAATTTAATATAAATGAAATTCAATAAAATATGAAACAAAGTCTCTGTGCACATGTGAAATCTCTTATCGGGGGGCTTGAGCACTGCCAGTGCCACGGACTTCCCACATTCACGGCCTCAGGCCCTGTTTGGGGAAAGCCCTGGGGTGGCCCTGAGCTGGGGCAGCCACACACCCCAACACACACCCCTACACACATCCCCACCTACCCACACACACACACACAGCTATCAACCTACACACACCCCTACATACACACTCCCACACACACTGCTGCACTCAAACCCACACTCACACACACCCCTAAACACCCCCCCCACACTGCCCCCAGTCTGCCTCACTGCCCAGAGAGCATTAGCCCTGCATTACCAGGCCTCTGGAAAGCATTTTACATTTATCAAGAAACCGTAAAGGTCATTTGGCTCTTTGAGGCGCATTTTAAAACACTCCAATGTCCCTGGATTGCAACTCTTTCTTTCATGAATGACCTCAACATTTTATCCCCAGCAGCCTCAAAAGGTCATTGCAGACACACACAATTCCCTGAGTGGCTGTGCCAGTGCTGGTACCTTCTCTCCTACCTTCAGGGAGCGCTGCCAGGAGCACAAGCTGTTTGTAACAGTACTGCTTGCTGAAGGGGAGTTAGGGTAACATCATTACGCATTCATGCTTTACAGCTGTAGGTAATATCAACTATATTTTCCATGGGGGGAGGAGGGAGGAGTTTGAGGGAGGGTAGGTGAAGCAAAACAGTGCTGCTGCAAGCCCGCCCTTGTACAGGATGGCAGCAGGCTGTGGCACCGTGCCCCTGGCACTGCATCCATCTCCACACCACGGGCCCCTTCCCATGCCTGGCCTGCACCCAGGGGCACACACGCTCTGAAAGGCTCCAGGTAATGAAGTACCACACAGAGGAAACAGTGCCTGATGCAAAGGCTGAGATTTGACACCACAAAACATCTTCACAACATCAGAACTTCAGTAATACTTCAGAATAAATAAAGACCAGAGACATGAGCAATACAAGTTTTAATACACACATCTCCCCCCGCCCCCTTTCCCCAAGTGGGTTTTATTTACCTGACCAAAAAAGTAAAAGAAAGGAGTAATCAACCCACTATTATTATATATTAATTTAAAACCCTTTGCAGCTCATTCAGGGAAACTCAGCAAAGGCCATGGAATTCAGGTGTTCAAGGTGGGACTAAAAAGCACAGTTTAGCTTTTGCAAGCAGTTTCATGCTGCACTAATGAGGATGAAGTTTTCTGCAGCCCTGTGTCACTCATGAATCAGATGGACACAAGCATATGAAATTACTTAAACCTGAGGCCTCATTGCTGAAGAAAGTTGATCTTGCAGCCACCAAGGGGATGTCCCAGTCCATGGGCCACCACATAACACCCAGACTGCCTTAGCAGCCACAGAGAAAATTGACATGGAAGATGGGAGGTATGACACGATGGGGGACAGGGGACATAACAGCAAATTGTGTGGGCAGTCATGAATGTCTGTGAGAATAATTTGCCCCTGGAAGAGCTCCCAAGACTGCAGGGAGCCTCCACATCCTCCAAGAGAGAATACTACTGGGAACACCTGGGTTAAGTTCCCTGGCACACCTGCAAGCCCAGCTCAGGGAGCTGGCATGAGCCTTTGTAGGTCACTATTTAAAAAAAAAAATAAAAATTAGAAAACTCTTTCCATGCTATTTGCCACCCTCCATTCCAAACCATCTTCCCCACCGGAGCAGGGCATTGCTGGGTTTAACTCCTACCAGTCAAGTCTGTCTAAAGTCCTTGCTCAGCAACTCTGAAGGGACACCCATTCCATACCTCCAACCTGTCGTCCTTGTTCACCTCTCCTGAAAGAGCAGCTGACAAACAGCCAGCACAACTAAAAAAAGCTTCCTTTACTTACCAGAAAAAAAAAAAAAAACAAAAAAAAAAACCCAATTGTAAAAGTGTGTGTTTCTACTGCTACACCCCTGCCAGTAGCTAATGCTGGGGGTCACCAGAGCACTGGGACAACAGGAGTGGGCTGCACAAATCCAGGAGGTGTCAAGCACATGTTAATCATGACCTTTAACACAGGTCATATGCAAAAAGCAGTTAAAAACCCCAAAGTAACACCAACACCAAGTAAAGCTGTGTAGCAGGCTGGTCCTAGCAAAGTCCAGCTACTGCCCTCTCTCTGCTGCACTCTCCTGTTACGGGCCAGCAGTGAAATAAGAATTTAACACAACCTTCGAGCCCCCAGCCCTTCACATGATTCTCTCCACCATGCTGGATCACAGAGAGAAAACATCTGGGCAGCAGAAAGTGATTTTGCATAAATGGTATATAAACTTTCTGCCAAGACTGTGCCTGTCCCTGTGATAAATCCTCTCCCCTACCCTTTGTGTTTTCCACAAAACAAAAAGCCTTTACTATTATTATGCAAAGAAAATCTGTATGAATTGCTTCCTGCAATGCATGGGCAAGTCAACCAGATTGTAGCAACAAGCAAAGGAGTCATATTTTCCTTTCAGCCATCCCCACAGTAATCCTCTTTTTTTTCCTGTCACACAGGGTGTGTGCTGCTGTGCCCTGTTCAAGGGCCTTGTGCAGAGTTGAACGGATGAATTACTACAATGGAAACCACAGAATAGAAATAGTCATGATTTTTCAGACCCCTGTACCAAAACGTGCTCCTGGCAAGGCAGGGAACAGGACCAGGGATGGGATGGGAACAGGGGAGGGCAGGGGGTATGAAGAAACCACTGTACTGAGTGAGAAGCCAACTGACTGATCTCTTTTGTGACCTGCCGCTTTAGCACCTGTGCCTTTCTCTGTTTCTCTGGCTCTGACGGTCCAGTTTGGACTGAGGACTGCAGAACTCCCCCTGCCTTTCTCAGCAGCTGAACTGTGGCTGAAGGCATCACACACTGCAGCACAGCACAGGGAAGGCAACCTAGAAAGCAAACATGGACACAGCTCCAGTGAAATCCAGCTTGCCAGCAGCAGGATCCAACTACTCAAACACCAGGTCGGTCAACAGTGAGTGGTCCTGTGCACCATTGCCTCTGAGGGGCATAAAGCATCCCCTGGGGATGGAAATGACCTGTCCTCCACTCCTCCTTTTCTATGTATGGGAGCAATTTTCCACAGAGGAGTTGTTCCTTCTTCCATTACCTTCTAACATAGCAGATGAGATGTCTGGGCTCCCCAGCTGATTACTACACTAAATGCCACATCACTGCTTTACGTTTCAAAGGAGCTATGGCACCCCAGAATCCTGCCAAGCCAAGGAAAATAAACCATAGTTAAGGAATACATACTTAACATGGCTTAACACTGAATAGTGACGTCAGTCTTACCCAAAGGCCACCCCACCTGCACCACTGTCTGTAAAATGTCATTTCCAAATGAGAAATGCAGCAGAAGCCCCCCCCAGTCTGTGCCTGTCAGGGTGCTGCATCTCTGCTACCAGTCTGCAGGGAGCTGTGTGCCCTGGGCATGCTCAGCCCCCCAGGAGCAGGGTGATTCCCTCAGCTAACGTGGAGTTCTGCCAGACTTAGACAGGAATTGTTTGTGCATCTGAGGCAGACAGATTGCATGTCCTACCATTAGATGTATTGTCTTGACCAGAAGACAGAAATGAGGCAAGAACTTTCTTTTTCTGTCACTTTATCTGCTCTGTGCAGGATTACCAGATTATGCAGAAATATCAAGCAGCAGATAGTGAAATGTTTGCACTGCATTTGCATTTTTTACACAGAAGAGTAAAATGTGCTCATTTTGATTGAATGCATCTATAACCTTGTCCTAGTTAGAACAGTTGGGACCGATTCATCACTGGATGGGTGTAGCCCAAAACTGTGTATTCTATAGCCTTCCATGCCATTTCCCAGAAACTGTTGTCAGTAGAGGCCTGCAAGGTGGGGAGATGTTCCTGTCCTCATGCCCTTTTATGGAATTCCCCACTCTGAGGGAAGGACTGAGCATCCTTTTATGGAATTCCCCACTCTGAGAGAGGGACTGAGCATTCCTGCCTGAGCTAGAGAATATTTAAACCTGGAGTTTCAGAACCTTTCCACCACTTGTAGGATCCAGAGGAGGACTGCAGCTCACTGCTCTCAGCCAGACTGCAGCTCACCGCTCTCAACCAGACTGAGACCACCACCCTTGGCTGGGCTGCAGTCGCCACTTTTGACCAGACTGCAGCAGCTCTCCCACCAGCAAGTTTTTCCCCTCTCCCTTTACTTTGGACTCGGGGGGGGCCCAGGAAGCACCACTTTGTTTGTGCCCCGGGGTGCTGGGTTGTACATTTGGGTTTTGTGGGTTGAGACCAATTGTTTGTCTGTGTGGCTGTGCTTGTTGTATTATTTTATTAAATTGTTGTTCTGACTTGCAGTCTCTCTTTTGGGTGGGGTTCATTTCCCCTGCTGGTTAACTTTTAAACCAGCACATTTTTGGCGCCCAACGTGGGGCAGAGAGAGAGACAAATGCTTAAAATGAAATTGTGATTCTGTCTTCTATTTGGATATAGAAACTCCCTGATCACCATGTTGTTTGATGCATTCACATGGATGTTGTATCTGAGCCTGTTCATATTTCCACAGATGGGATACTATTTGCCTGTTTTGATGCAAAACAGGCAAATTGGTCTTTAAGACCAGGGAGAGGGATCCAAATTGCTTTATTAGTATACTATATTTATGTCATCATAACATCAGAAGCAATGAGTTTCATTGTAAATGTGTATTCAGTCCTGTTTGCCTGTCCCGGTTTGGGTTGCTACCTCTGGGGCCTCATTAAAAATCGCACCCAGTCCTTTGGAGGAACAGGGGGGAATGGTTGTTTCCAGCCTCTCACCTCCTTCTTTCCCTTCAGACCTGCTACAACAGTTTTTGAAAATATTGAGTTCCCTTTTGATGTTAAGGACAGCATAATGTTACTGTTAGTGTTGCTTTGTCTGCTCTGTACTGTCTACACCATGTTTAGGGTCAGAACAGGGCCTTCTAGGGAGGTTGTTTGGACGCCTGCCCTGGGAGCAGATAATGCTG